GGGGATTTAAATCTCCCCCGGGGGATTTAAATAAACATGTCTGCAGCTTTTTTTCCGGCTTGGGGAAAAACCGGAAAAAAGCGTCTAGACTGGCGCGATCCTCCGGAATAAAGCCCTTTTTCGGAGGATCTCTTATTCCTACTTTTCCCCAAGCCGGAAAAAAAGCGGCGGCCATGTTTATTTAAGTCCCGCGGGGGATATTTAAATCCCTCGCGGATTTCCCTATTCCCAAGTTCAAAATTAGCATGCCCCTTCCGAAGAAGGGGCCAGTGTAGACGTAGCCTGTGTGGATATGCTAGTTCGAATTAGCAAAACGCTAATTCGAACTAGTTTTTTAGTCTGGATGCGTTAGTTCGAATAGCTTAGTTCGAATTAACTAATTCAAACTAAGTTAGTTTGAATTAGCGCTGTAGTGTAGACATACCCAGAGAGAGCGTGAGTGAGAGAAAGAGAGAGCTAGAGACCGAGCAACTGATGATCAGGCTGACCCACAAATGCTCCATCCCAGTTATAAATACCTGGGCCGAGATTTGCAAAGCCAACTAGTGATTGTAAACATTCATATTTGGTTATGGTAGTAGTGTGTCTAGCTGCTCTCTCCCCCCACTCATCTTTGGAAAATCATGATTTTAGGCTTTTTGCAAGAAGGAAATCATTTATTTAGGGGGAAAGTGTAAAGCATTTCAAGTCAATAATTTTATGACATAAACATGATTTAATAACAACTTCTCAAGCCCCAACAGCTGTAAATTCATCTATCCAAAACTCCAGGAAAGCAAAGTTTCATTTGGGAAGAGAATACATTCCAGAGTAAATCTATAAAAGTGCCTTTAAGAGCCTTTTGCCTGCTCGCTGACATCTGTACTCTAAAACATGTGTTCTTTATGCTAATCTATAGGACCATGTCTACAATAATGGTAGAAATGTAGCCATGTTAGTCTGGTGCAGCTGAAACAAAAAACAGGACTGTGTAGCACTTTAAAGACTAACAAGATGGTTTAATAGGTGATGAGCTTTCTTGGGCCAGACCCACTTTGGTATATATGGTTGTGACAATTTTCTTCCACTATTTGATCTGAGGAAGTAGGTCTGGCCCACGAAAGCTCATCACATATTAAACCATCTTGTTCGTCTTTAAAGTGCTACACAGTGTTTTTTATGTCTACAATAGGAAATTATTTTGAAATTACTAAATTTCATTTAGTAACTCTTGATTTAACAAATTTGAACTAGCATGTTCTCACTACAGGGAAGCATCAAAATCAGTCCAAAGCAGACTCCATTAATGTAGACACGCTACCTTGGACTTAGAACTCCAGGAAGCACTGGGGAGTAATTCGTCTGGGGAGTTCACATTAGCAGCACTGGAGTGTCCACACTACCATTATTTTGAAATAACTATTTCATAATTAGCATTACTCCTGATGAAAAGCAGGAGTACAGAGTTCAAATGCTGTGGTAGTTTAGATGCTCTGCTAATAAATTATTCATGCTTGAGGAGGCATATTTCGAAATAAAGTCCAAGTGTAGACCAGGGCTAGATGAACAATTTTAAAATACTGATATAGTTATTTTATTGTATCCCAAACTAATACTTATTCAGTCAATGGGAATCTTCTATTGATTTGTGTGCTTTGGATCAGGGCCTTATTGCCAATGGCAAGATAAGATGATAAACTTCTTTGGTAGCATGGAACAGTAAATCCGCATACAATACTTCCTTTGTATCTGGTTAACTGATCCGTTCCTGAGGTGTCTCCAAGATTATATAAAAATAAAGAGCAATATATATTTTGGTTATGAGATTATGTAGCCTTATATTTTATTAACCCAATATGGGAAGTAGAAAACAAAACAATTTTCATGATTCACATGGGAAAGTTGGGTATATGAATTATCTCCTTACCCACAAGAGTTCCAGGTATGAAGACAATAATGCTCATGACAATGGATCCTAACCAGTATAGGCCAATGTTTCTGTAACTTTCTCTGAAACAGAAATAATGGATTTAATGCACCATCCCTAGAATGCTATTATCAAAACCTGTCCTCAAAGATTATGCTGATTTCTGCTAGTTGCATTGTAGAAGGTGAGATCCTCAAAGATATTTGGCACCTAGTCCCGTCTGAAGATCTGAGCCTAACGTGTTTGCGAATGGTGGACACAGGGGAGCAGTGGAAACAAACCTACTGGTGAAAGGGCACTCTCCATTTTTGTGTATAAACAAGATAATTACCTGTTTTGGGGAAGATTTACTCACACTTACTCACACTTCTAAAAGGGCTGAGTGGGAACATGTTGCACAGGCTTTGAAAATCAATTGCTTGAATGCAGTGGTCTCCAACCTTTTTAAGCACGAGATCACTTTTTTAATTTTAAGTGCAATCCAAGATCTACCTCAAATAGAAATACCCTTGTCCTGCCTCCCTCTTGTCCCTTCTCCAAGGCCCCGTCCCTGCCTCCCTCCTGTCCCTTCTCCAAGGCCCCGCCCCTGCTCACTCCATCCTCCCTCTCTTGCCCATCCTCCCTCACTTCCATCAGGCTGGGGCAGAGGGTTGGGGTGCAGGTTGTGGTCTTGGATTAAGGGATCTAGAGTGTGAGAGGGGCTCTGAGCTGCTCTGGGGGGCAGGCAGTTGGGATTTAGGAGGGGGTTCTAGGTGTAGGCTCTTGGAGGGTGTTTGGATGCAGAGGAACTTGGGGGTGCAAGAGGGAGTTCATGACTAGCGTAGGAGTTAGGGATGTGGGCTATAGGGATGTGGGATGTGGGTTAGGGATGCTGGGCACTGCTGGTGGCTCCTGGGTGGTGGTGCAGTGGGGCTAAGGCAGGTTCCCCCCTGCCCTGGCTGTGGACCACTCCCTAAAGCAGCCAGCGAGCTCCATCCCAAGTCCTATTGTGCCCCCTCTATGCTTTGTGGAGAAAGGATACAGAGTGGGAGAGGGGGTACCTTGACATCACCACCCCTTTCCTCCCCTGCCTTGCACAGAAAGCAGGAGGCTCCCCAGGGGGAGGGGCAGCTCCAAGGCAAAGGGCAGGAGATGAGCAGCTGTGGGGGGAGGGGCAGCTGAAGTGCTGGGCTTCATAACCTCTTAGCCAAACCAGTCAGGAACACCTGTCAGAGGCTCCAGGAGCTACCAGTAGATCCTGATCTACTGGTTGGTGACCACTGCTTTAATGTTAGCGTTGCCAAAAGGTTCATGTTTCAAAATAGTATATTTTGAAATATTTTCCCTGCAATGTGCACTTAAATAATTATGTTCTTTAACTTTGTCAAACAAAACTACCACCACCACCACCAAAATACTAATTAACCAAACTAAATAACTACATCCATTTTGAATTATAATGCAAAGGCAAGAGAATGCAGGTTGATTTATCTGCTCCCTCTTGTGCATCTGAAACTAGAGGCCACATCCAGTTGTAATCTAACTACAGAATGTAATGGAATTTCAGTAGGGCTTAATTTGGTCCAAGGAATTTACACAGCACAAAATAATATTTTAAAAACTCCAAAATCTAAACATGGCATAGCTACAGGAAATGAATTTCCTTTGTGGCTTCCACAGGATGTGCAAAGCTAAAGAAATGGTACACACACATCAAACTGACTTACTCCCATGCAATAGCTGCCACCATTAAGAGATACATCAGATAATGCACAGAGCCATCCCAATAGCAGATCACATGGCCATACGCAGTGTTCAGGTGAGGCTCGCCCTAAAGAAAATGGATTTTAAATCAGTGCAACAGCAAAGGAGATTCAGTGAACCTTAGAAGTGTATTAGGCATAGCAGGTAAACAGGCTGGAGTAAAGTGACCAGTTTCATTCAGTAGTAGGTATCCATTTTTTTCTGGTTGTCAGCTCTCATATTTCAAGACATCCATATCATTATCTGGGGTTAGGATGAAATAACTTCCATACAGACTCACCCTTTAGAACAGAGGTCAGCAACCTATGGCTCACTTAGGAGCCAAATATGGCTCATGGCTCAAGCTCAGTCCCGCAGCTTTCCCCCCTGCAATGGGAAGCCTGCACTGGTGATCCAACCTCGTGTCCCATGCAAGAGTGGAGCCGGCTTCCTGCAGGGGTAGGAGGATGGAGAAAGCTCTGAGCCTTGCTGTGCGATCAGGGAAAAAGCCGGAGCAATAAATGACTCCAAGCGTGTGCTCCCCATCCTCCTCCTCCTCCCCTAGCTGGAGGAACAATACAGTGCGCAGGCGCACTGCCTGCAGGCTTTTCCCACTGCTCCAGTGGCCAGAATTTGGCCACTGGAGCAGCTGGGAGCCATGGATTGAACAGGGAGTCTGAGAGCAGTGTGAGGGGCAAAAGTAGACCCGGCCACCATCTTGCCCATGAAGGACCTGCTGCTGCCGCAGTCTTGTCCACGCTACTCCACCCCTGCCTCACACTGCCTGTGTGTGCCGTGCTCTCACGCTTGCTAGAGAGTCCCATGGGGCCGCTGAAATCCGTCATCAGCCTGAGCACCTTCTTCCTGGTGCTTGTGGGCTGGATCCTGGCCAGCTTGCCCGGAACCGCTGGCTGGACTCCCTGCACTCCTGGCGAGGCACGGCCTCCATTCCACACTCAGCCCTTGGGCTGCTAACTTATTCCATGACTGGTGTGGGAGTGACTATTACAATGAATAAACCCTATTACAGACACTGGGGGGAAAAAGTGTCACCCCTCTGCGCTGAGACCTTGCACCCCCACCCTGCTCCTGCCCTTTGTCCTTGGCCAGACACTCACCCTCACTTTGCTCCTGCACCCTTCCTGCCCCTCCCCCTTGGCCAGACACGCACCCACACCCTGCTACTACCCCTTACCTCTCACCCAGACCCTGCATCCCTATCCCACTCTCTAGCTTCTCTGTCCCACACACTGGACTCCTCATTTTTGGCCCCACTCCAGAGCCTAGGGGGCCCACAAAATCCACTAACCCTATGATTCTAATTCTAACCCCAGAACTCCAGAAAAAATAATCTGGCCTGAGGCCTTGAACATCAGTCCTCCCTGCCTCCCCCTCCCCGATGGGGCTGGAGCACCAGGGGAGTGAGGTGTCTCAGTTGGGTGTCACATCAATGAGTGTTGGGATTTTTTGGAGGGGTTGTTTTTTCACTTTTCTCTTGTGTGGTGCCCAATTGATTTTTCTGAGGGTCTGTGGCCCCCAACCCAAAAAAGGTTCCCCGCCCCTGCCATAAATAAAGACAATGTTGAAAACTTTTTGTGTTGGGCATAATATTTTACTTTATTTCAAAATGAAGCGTGGCCAACAAGTCCCCAATTGGAGCCCAGCCCCCATCTGGCTGCAGAGCCATAACGTTCCTGCACCCTCCCCACCATGTCCCCAGTCCTGAGTCCATCATACCCCTGAACCCCCTGCCCTAAGCCTCTCATACCCCCACATCCTCAAACTCCTGCATCCGCATATCCCCAGACTCCTGCACCCCCACATCCTCAGTCCCCTGCTATAAGATTGACAGAAGACAGCCTGAATGCGTGCACAAAGCTGGATGTGACCAGTTATGATGTAAACTTCAAAGAAAAGTGCGAAAAGATGCAGCAGCAGAAGTCCCATTAAATAAAGTCTGTGAGTACAATGTTTCATTTATGCTCTTATTAATCATTATGTCAGTTATCAATATTAAGATGTATATTTTCAGTCATGCAAATGGACATTCTTATATGGCTCTTCATTGACCACTTGTTCTGAATTTTGCTGTAGTTTGGCTCTTTGGTTTGAAAAGGTTGCCGACCCCTACTTTACAATATAGTATTGCAAAATTAGGTGCATTCTGGTGGGATGGGGGTTATGCCTTGCTCTTCAGTATTTGGGAACAGGCTACTGAAACAACAATCATTGGTATGCAACATTATGGAAAATTCCTGTTTTAAAAAAAAGTTCAAAAATCTTCAGTTATGACATATACATCAGTGATGAAATCTGAAGACTGGTTGGTTTAATTCAGCACAGATATTTACCAATCTAGAGACTCAACAATAGTGCTGAGCAAGGTAAGCTCAAAGGGCCCAACTATTTCTCTGAAGTCTAAAACGTCTTTTAAATTACACCAGTGAATGTTGAGTCAGGCCCTTAATGTGCTATTTTGAGTGGACACTGAGGGTATGTCTACACTGCACACATTTCAAAATAAGCTATTCCAGAATATTTCAAAATAATGGAATTGGTGTGTAGCTGTTTGCATTGTTATTTTGAAATAGCGCTAGTTATCTCGACATAATGGTACAATGTAGATGCACCCTGAGATTCCGCAGGGAACAAATTCTGCCATTTTGTTTTTACTAAAAGGATTAAGTGAAGCTTATAGGTTTTGTAATATTTCACTTTAACTCTCCATGGGTACGTCTACACTACAGCGCTAATTCGAACTAACTTAGTTCGAATTAGTTAATTCGAACTAAGCTAATTCGAACTAACGTGTCTAGAACTAAAAACTAGTTCGAATTAGCATTTTGCTAATTCGAACTAGCATGTCCACATTGAGTGGACCCTGAACAGGGCTTAAGGATGGCCGGAAGCAGTGCCGGCAGGGCATCAGAGGAGGACTTAGAGCGTGGAGATGCTGTCTCAGGCTAGCCGAGGGCTGCGCTTAAAGGGACACGACCCCCACCCCAGACAGAAAGTTCTCAGGGGTGCCCCGCTTGAAAACCAGTCCTGGCTTGGAGTGCCCGGAGTGCCCACACTGGGCACATCACACCACTCGTCCATCAGCCCGGCTGCACTTGCCGCAGGCTGCCATCTGGGGAGAGGAGGCAATTGGGGGGCTGCAGGA